AGTTACTTATCAACAGAGGAGCTGATATTAACCGAGTTGAAGAAGATGGGCAGGATGCTTTAATGATTGCATCAAGACATGGACATGACAAAATAGTAGAGTTACTTATCAACAACGGAGCTGATATTAAACGTGTTAAACCAGATGGATGGGATGCTATAATGCTTTCTATACAGAATAGACATGACACAGTAGTAGAGTTACTTATTACAACCGGAGCTGATATTAATCATGTAACCAATAATGGATTGGATGCTTTAATGCTTGCATCAAGAAATGGACATGACAAAATAGTAGAGTTACTTATCAACGGCGGAGCTGATATTAAACGCGTTGATAAAGATGGGCAGGATGCTATAATGATTGCATCAAGACATGGAAATGGCAAAATAGTAGAGTTACTTATCAACGGCGGAGCTGATATTAATCATGTAACCAATCATGGATCGGATGCTTTAATGCTTGCTTCACAGAATGGACATGACAAAATAGTGGAGTTACTTATCAACGGCGGAGCTGATATTAAACGCGTGGATGAATATGGGCAGGATGCTTTAATGCTTGCTTTATGGAATAGACATGACAAAATAGTAGATTTACTTATTAACACCGGAGCTGATGTTAATCATGTAACCAATAATGGATCGGATGCTTTAATGATTGCATCAAGAAATGGACATGAGAAAATAGTAGAGTTACTTATCAACAGCGGTGCTGATATTAACCGAGTTGAAGAAGATGGATGGGGTGCTTTAATGCTTGCTTTACAGAATGGACATGACAAAATAGTAGAGTTACTTATCAACGGCGGAGCTGATATTAAACGCGTGTATGAACACGGGCATGATGCTTTAATGATTGCATCAAGACATGGACATGACAAAATAGTAGAGTTACTTATCAACGGCGGAGCTGATATTAAACGCGTGGATAAATATGGGCAGGATGCTTTAATGCTTGCTTTATGGAATAGACATGACAAAATAGTAGAGGTACTTATTACCACCGGAGCTGATATTAATCATGTAACCAATAATGGATCGGATGCTTTAATGGTTGCATCAAGAAATGGACATGACAAAATAGTAGAGTTACTTATTACCACCGGAGCTGATATTAATCATGTAGCCAATAATGGATCGGATGCTTTAATGATTGCAGCAAGAAATGGACATGAGAAAATAGTAGAGTTACTTATCAACGGCGGAGCTGATATTAAACGTGTTAAACCAGGTGGATGGGGTGCTTTAATGCTTGCTTTACAGAATAGACATGACAAAATAGTAGAGTTACTTATCAACGGCGGAGCTGATATTAAAAGTGTTAAACCAGATGGATGGGATGCGTTAATGCTTGCTTCACAGAATGGACATGACAAAATAGTAGAGTTACTTATCAACGGCGGAGCTGATATTAATCGTGTGGATAAAGATGGATGGGATGCTTTAATGATTGCATCAAGAAATGGACATGACAAAATAGTAGAGTTACTTATCAACGGCGGAGCTGATATTAATCGTGTGGATAAAGATGGATGGGATGCTTTAATGCTTGCATCAAGACATGGAAATGACAAAATAGTAGAGTTACTTATCAACGGCGGAGCTGATATTAACCGAGTTGAAGAAGATGGATGGGATGCTTTAATGCTTGCTTCACAGAATGGACATGACAAAATAGTAGAGTTACTTATCAACGGCGGAGCTGACATTAATCATGTGGATAATAACGGAATGAATGCTTTAATACCTGCAACATCTGAAGGACATGAAAAAGTAGTAGAGTTGCTTATCAACAGCGGTGCTGATTTTAAAAGAGTGCATATATATGGATGGGATGCTTTAAAGCTTGCTTTAAAAAAAGGTCATGATAACATTCTACAATTATTGCTTAAAAATGTTCTTATGCAAGAAAATGAAAAATCAAGCGATTTAAGTCCAATACAATTTAGTAGGATGAATATTATGATAATTTATTTATTAGATATATTATTTCAAGCTTTTGAAAACGAACTCTATAATATAATGGAACAAATTTCTATTTTTGTCGACGAAAATTGTAGTGAAACGAATTTTAAATTCCAGTTAAAACGTTTTTGCGAATTAATTTTACAAGGTAAGCAGTACATTTAATATATTTTTAAAACGTTTGTATGTTATCAAGAAGAGAAGCACGTCACACATTTACTTCTCATGTGATCAAACATATTCCTTTATATATATATATATATATATATATATATATATATATATATATATATATATATATATATATATATATATATATATATATATATTTATTTATTTATATATATATATATATATGTATATATATATATTTATATATATATAGAAAGTTGTCTTGCAATCCTGTCAATGAAGTGCATTTCAACTGAATCTATCAGTTAAGTATTTAAAGAGATAGTGTCTTTTGCATTATGCCTAGCTGCGATGAATTTCCCTATTGTATGTTAGGTATCACTTCACTTTCCCACAAAGAACGTCAGTTATTTAAGCGAACTTTACTTTTACTCTACTACATAGACATTGAAACCCTCAGTCAACCACCCACATACATCACACGCATACACAATGTAGACCAAATTGAATACGAACATGCTCAGCACCTTAAAGTTTTCGGTTATATCTATATGCGCATTTAACAGTTTGATGCAAATCTGTACACAATACCGTATTATTGAATCAAAGTTATAATCTCTAAAGTGTTTAATGCATTTAGGTTTCCCTTTACCCGAATATTTAAAGATATATCGCCTAGTACATCAGTGTATAATCGAAACCCGAGGTGGAAATGTGGTGGAGGTGGGTTGATGGTGTGGGTTTGGTTTGGGGGTTATGGTATCGTGTGTGTTGTTGTGCTTTCTCTAAAATTTCCCCTGCTTTTTAATACCTACTATTGAGAAATAAATGTTTATTTCACAAGAATTTTAAACGAGCAGCTGTTTTATATAATGTACGATTATCTTCTATCATTTAATACTTTTATTCTGGAGCATCATACCGTAGCGAAGCACGGGTATGAGCTAGTGGATATATGAGGTAGAGTAGTGGGACCATGGAGAATTGGGACTCTTCATAATTTCGGAAACTGTGCAGCAAAATGTTGATGTTACCGCATTAAACATGAAACTAAAGACGAATCTCTTTTAATAACTTATTTCCAGCTTAAGCTGATTGTTAGTTTGATCTGCATAGAGAAGTGCCTACAAATTTTTTTTTGTATCTTCACAATCCTTAAAATACGGTGAACATTTGTGTTATCTTTCCTATCCTTGTATTAGAGTACGTTCTGTAATTATGTAATTGCATTATTCGTGTACGTTTTGTGCTTATTAACAACTAATATTTATAACAAATACTATGCCACAAACTAGCTTTGGTGAGAAGTGAGACAAGATGTACGTTACACACTCAAGCCCTTTAGTATATCATATTAAGTTGTTATTTTAATGAAATAGTTTCATTTTTACAGTCAAGTATTTATCCTACATTGTATGTATTGAAACTACAAACCATTTATTGTTTAAAAAAAAAATGACATGACTGTCCCAGTTCTTCTTTTGCATGTCCCACTTCTCAATGTCATGATGACTTATAAATTTTGTGTCATAAACGTGTATGTATACTAACTGAAGTGTTAACGGCGATGTCCAAACTTAAACGATTGCATATATAAATTACTGGACAAAGGATCATTTTAGACATATACAAGAGAAAATGCAATTGTTTTTTAATGATTTGTTTATTATCATCAAGCTAAAAGTATAGTTTGGTATTTAAATGTGGAGATTATAATTTCAAAATTCAAATGTGTATTCTAAATAGAGATATATTAATAAGTCATGTATCATATCAAATACCTAGCATTAAAACAAGATGTACAAAATGACACCGACACACAACTGAGCGACTCAACAGACACTGAACTATCCTATATAGAATTCCAGAATTTTAAGAAGTAAGTAATTTGTATTGTTTAAAGTAAGATGTCTGGACATTTTCATTTGTAAACCTACATTTAAATTATATTTTACTATTAATAAAGTCTCAAAAATGAAATACGCAAAATAGCTAAAATTATAAATTAAAAACGTCAAATAGCCCCACATAGATTTTACTACACTTTAAAGACAGAATTAAAAATATGTATTTTTTCTCACAAATAAGGTACACACAGGGGCGTAGCGAGGGGGGGGGGGGGGGGCGGGGGGTGTGGATTGCACCGGGTGACACCATTTAGGGGGGTGAAACCAAGGCAAAAAATAGCAAAATATATAGAGAAAAACTTGAGGGGGGTGCACATCGAAAGTTTGAGGGGGGGGGTGCGAATCGAATATTTGAAAGTTTGTCCCCAGGAAGGGTCGCTACGCCCCTGGGGGGGGGGTGACACCATTAAGTGCCGCACCGGGTGACACCCGACCTCGCTACGCCACTGGGTACACATAGACAAACAAACCTTTAATCCCACTGTCAATTGGGTCTACTATAAATGTATCAATTCACAAATACCACGAGATCAACCCGTTCATCCTGACAAGCAACCGTATTCAATCTGGGAACAGGACATTGTCCTTAACAATATCACTATATCACCATCTGATCGTTAACTAATTATCTATTGTCCAACTAAAAGTTCAAGCTTGATTTTACTCCACTGTCGACATCAAATTTAGGCCATTCTCGAGAAGGATCATGATCAATATTACCTTCATGATCAGGGTCGTAATGACATTATACCTTGATTTAAAACAGAATGTGTATTGTTCTAAATTGGAAAACTTTACAAAGATATGTTAAATGTATTTTATATCTATTTATATACATCACTACATCCCTGTTATCACATAATGCCAATTAAGTACCTAAATAGTTTTAAGCATATCGATTTAAAAAAAAGAAACAAACACAGAAACCTATTAGTAGTCAGTATAATTATATTGCATTTACCATGTCTATATATATATTGTTTAAAAAAAACAGGTCCATCGATTGTTATGTGAAGATTGTAGTTCTCACTCACAATGAACAGGTAAGTAGTTTTTATTCTTTATACGACTCATACGCACAAAATACATATTGAACATCGCATTAAAAAACACAATCGATGGAAATTACATGCTCTATTATGGTACCATAAATAGTGGATTTTTTGTTAGGTTTATGGGTGTCAATGCGCTATTTGACAACTGGTTTGTTGTATGGGAAAAATTTAAATTGAGACTTAGATATCAGTTATAGTGATATTCAGATTGCGTGTCTGAATTCAGAGTGGAAGTATTTTTTTGCATTTAAGGAAAGTCGGATCTTGGCCAGTCTCTCTAAGACTTTGATAACTACATTTTTCTACTCAAAATTAATTAGTTTTAAATCATCTGCATATTATTATTTTTTTGCTCTTAAGGATAGACAGCACACATGAAATATTATAGAGCCACCAATAACAGTACTTTTTGCCATGGAAACCACGAAAAGGTGTGAAAACTAACACCTTTTAAAACCTCTATAACTTTGTTTCCGTAAAAGATTGTTAAAAGATGATAAAAGATTTAGATTTCTTAATTAAAACTATACATTTCTATGTTATTTATTGCGATAGCTCGTACTCAATTTCTAATACAAATTTTTACGTACATTTATGTACAAAAATTAGTGTGTGGTGCTACAAAAATACCAATGATGCCTAAAGTATTGAAGTGAAATTAATGTAAAGACTTAGTTTTGTAGAAGGTATAATGCTAAATGGAATGTTTCAGTTATGTATGACAAAGGGTTCCGAACCCTTCAATGTTGAATTTGTAGTAAAAATGCAAAGTTGAGAAAACGAGAAAAGAAGGGCGGTAAATATACTATGCGTTTCCTCTTATAGATTTCCCCTCCCCCCCCCCCCCCCCCCCCAAAAAAAAAAAAAACAACAACGTCTGTTTATGTGTGGAAGAACCATTTGACTAATAAATACGCATTGATTTATGTTGAAAGTTTTAGACAAATTTTTCCGTGTAAGCAAAAGATATGTATACAAAGGTTATGCATTAATAACTATTAAGTATTACACGTCCTATCAATCGAGTGTTATTCTGAGAATAGCTATCAATAAACCAGATGACGTTTTGTTTGTTAGCCGATCTTCTCACTTCAATACAATGTCTATCCCCACATAAATTGTAGCTTACACAAGTTTATTGTCTTCTGATGACAGCCTAATGGTTACAGCGCTTGAGGTTAGACACGCCCCCAATCCCACACCTCCTCCGCTGGATAGTGCGTGAAGATCCAATGAGGCATAGATTACATCATAGATTACGTATGTAATCTATGCCTCATTCATAGGATTATATGTAAGCGTAAAGCTCAGAGCAAGTAAGAACGAGAGAATGATTGTGCACAACACTTTTATTTTCTATCTGACATATCTGTGCTGAAAGCCTTTCAAACTCAAAGATCAGTCACTTCGTAAATTTAGTCCGACTGGACAGTCTAAAATACAGGTCAGAGGTCACAGCGGTGAGTACTGGAATATTGGTTAGGAGAGCACACATTACGGTAAAAAAAGTAGTTTTACCGTTATATGTCAGACAATAAGTGCTGGTGTAATACTCTTTGTTCACAATAAGTTTCGACAATAACTCTTAGGGTAGCTTTTTAGACTGTGCAAGATATTTTTTTTTCTAACTGGCATATCCCTAACGTATTTGCCCCTTCCAACAATAATCATGACGTATTACCCCATATCGGTTATTTCCCTGTTATTCCCCCCGTCCTTGTGTTTGTGGGTTCGTTGTAGAACTGTAACAGTATATTTTCTAGCTTAACTTGAAATTGTATTTACTACACAAAGAGTCCATTGAGGTTAAAACAATGAATTAGATCTCCACAGTTGTAATATTTCAGTACATTGAATAACACAGGACGCCAACAAAATACACGGATAAACCACAAATGAAATGATATAGTAACAGCTTAAAAGTAGTATATCAGGTCCCTTTTGGTTAGCATTTTTGGCGGAGGAGCGCAGGCGCAGGCGCAAAGGTTATATAGGAAAATACTCGGGATGGTGAGGAGCCGGATGTACAACGAGATATAGTAAAATACTCCCAGCCTGGCGCCGCGGGATGTGGAGGAGCGAAGGGTGAAGGCGCAAAGACATATAGTAAAATACTGCGCCAACTGGGGTTGGCGGAGGAGTGAAGGGTGAGTCACCTTTTGGTGACCTTGTGACGTCATCATTGACCTAGTTACGTAATTTTAATGAGTTTTAATGAGTTTTTTAAATTTTAATTAATTTTTATTAACGAGTTACGTAATTTGATTATTTGTTTACTTTTTAATTGTTTAATTTGTGTTTACTTGTTGTTTAATTTAATTACTTTGTTTATATTGTGTAATTTTTTATTGAGTAGTTACGTAATTGGATTTTAATTTTTAAATTTTTAAAATTTTTTAATTTTTTAAAATTATTATTTATTTTGTTTTGTAATTATTATTAACTAGTTACGTAATTTGATTTTAATTACTTTGTTTAATTTATTTATTTGATATATTTATTTTCTTTGTTGTTTAATTTGTTGGTTTGTTTATTTGGTTGTATGTATGTTTTAAATAAAGACTAACACTAGTGTAGACTTTGTATAGGGACCATTCTCCAACACAATGAACGTTACAAAAATAGAACATCCATTGTTACTTATCGATCCGGGATCCTTTGTTGACACGCGCTGCGCGGTTTTTAATGGGTATTATATCGATCGCAGCCGCTGGGCCATCAAATGATGGCCTACCTAATTAAATTGGTTATGCTTCACCGATTTTATGCGTTGTTCGCCGACCCGATCACAGCAGGGGTTCCGCGTTTAATCGAAAGAGCTAAGTGGTTAACCACAAAGCCCGCGTTAAGTGTGGGAACATCTGTTACCACGTTAATTGATTTTTCCCCTGGTTGGGTCCCGTGCTTTCCACTAACAGGTATACGGACAGTGTCGTAGGTTTTTTGGTCGAGTAAAGAAATAGTATTGATCGACCCGGGTCGAGCGGTGTGTTGTATGTAGTTGGTATATCCATGTTTTGTTGTTGGTTGGTGTAGAGTTTATACGAGGGTCGGTGAAGGTTGGTTTTGAACTCGGAACATGCATGTTTTGTTGTTGTTAGGTGTAGAGTTTATACTAGGGTCGGTGAAGTTGCTTCTAATTAAATTTTGGTCACGCATCGTGGGTTTATGTCGACTACAAACATCCATTAGAGACACCTGTTACTCGCTAATGGCACCCGACACGTATCGATTCACCAGCGATCCTTTGTTCTTGTCAACCACCGTACAAGGGCCAAGTTAATATTGATCGCACCCACTGACCATCAGTATGAGGGTCCACCTATGTGTAATTTTTATTAACGAGTTACGTAATTTGATTTTAATTTTTTAAATTTTTTAATTTAATTTTATAATTAGTTTAATTATTATTAACGAGTTACGTAATTTGATTTTAATTTTTTAAATTTTTAAATTTTTTAAATTATTATTTTTAAATTTTATTTTTAATTGTTGTTTACTTGTTGTTTAATTTAATTACTTTGTATAATTTATTTGTTTGAAATTCATTTTAATTAGTTTGCTTTTAATTTCTTTGTTGTACGCCGTTTGAAATAAAAGACTAACACTAGCGTGTACTAGAAAGTGTCATTGTGTATAACATCCATTTAACCACAGCTGTTACTTATTAGCGACAGCTTGTACTTATCGATCCGCCCGTGATCCTCCCAGGCGCTCCCCGTGGTTGCTTAATAGCGGGCTCACTGAAGCGATCACAACAGGTAATTAATCGAAGCCATTAAGTCCCTCTCCGCGTTAAGTGTGGCGACAGCTGGTGCTGTAATTAGTCACGGCTCTCGGCTTTTTTCATTAGACTACAGCTGTACATGAACTATGTTCACATATCGTACGCCCGGTCATTCTTTGATCAAATTAAAAAAATTTGTTTCCACATGTCCTGCGAACCGTCCCTTGCTATGTATGAAAGATTAATGGTTGTAACTATTCGCTTATAGCGAGGGTCAGCGAAAACAAAAATATATTTAAGGGTCGGAATTTTCTTTCAACCACCGTTAAGTCAGGTTTTGAGACGAAACGAAGTCTCGGTAGGTTGGTGTTTTTTAATGGGCGACAGGGCGACTTCGTGCGTTGGTACGTAGGTATGCGGGGTAGACATGTTTTTTACAAGTCTGGAAAAGTAATTACGTTTTTTTATGACCGTTCCGATTTTCTTTTGATCTGACCACCATTTGACCACACTGAGCCAGATAAATTTAACAATTGTCGCAGCGGGGTTTATTTTAAGTGCACCCCGTGCACGCTTGTTTACATTTTAAAAGACGTGTCGCGTGTCTTCCCCTTACGGCTTCCCTAATAGAGAAACAAGAGGAAAGACAACTGTTCTAAAATTAGAACAGCCTTGTTTACAGCCACGAGTATCGTCCCTTGTGAAAAAATTCGCGTCAGAATCCTTAACTAAACATTCAATTTCTTTAACAAGTTAAAAAATAATTTAGGAAGACAAGGGTTAACAACATTAGACGCCACCGTTTTTGTTTCCTGTGACGACAAGGCACAATACACTTTTTTATTTTATGTCTCAAGTAGAGGGGTGGGATATTTTTTTTCTTTGTAAGCGTGTTGTAAACAATAGGTAGACGAAGCGATTACTAGGTAAGAGGGGAGAGAACGTGACGTACATCGCGATATTTGAAAACATGGCGATGTTTAACCTCAACCAAAAAAGGCAATGAACCTAGAAGGAAGACGAATATATATCTTAGTCTTGCAGCAGATTACCTTCCCATGTTCGCTTTAGTATTACAGTTTTCATCAAACTTCTTTTTGACTTGAACTTCTTTAATTTTTAAGAAAGTTTACTTATACATAATACATTACGTCTAATGACAATTTTTTATTTTTACCACTCAATGTATTTTGTTTTTCTAAATCTTACATTGTCATCTTAATTTTTGATCACCTTAGTAAAAATTTGCTTAAGATTATAA